TAGGGCATCAAGATACGATAGCACGTGATTATCCGTATTTCAGTGTTTTTGTTCTGGAAATTTGACAGTGCACATTGTTTACGATTAAATTTTAAGATTTGCTCTCGTTCTCACGCGAATACGATTTTTTTTATGATGCTTGTGATATTTTTATGATGCGTATGATTTTCCTAATTTTTTTATTTGATAATATTACGAACATTACCACGAAAAACCTTTTCATTTTCCACGAATCTAATTTTATACATCTATTTCTTTATTCTCTTTGGTTTACGAATAAATCGAAACATTTCTTCTTATTATGATATTTATTCATTCGATCTCTTGAAAATGTATACGTTATACTACTATTTACATAATATTATATTATTATTATTTATTGTACAATATATTTACTATTATTCTTTACTATTATTATTTAGTGTGTACATGTGCATACTAATTTATGACTGTGTGAATTGTAAGCTGATATAATTCCATATGTCATTACATTTTCCTTTTGAATTAATTGATTAAACTTCGAGCATAATTATGAATTAAAAATTTAATTTTTCGTCGTGTCTCTCTAAAAAATATAGACGCTGATTTGACATCATACGATGCCTATAAAATTCTCGCCATTAATATTATTCCAATACTAATATGATATGGATTTTTAACGCTAGAAAATTGAACAGTTTTTAATATGTCAGATTAATTAAAAAAAATAGTGCTGTTCCGTACTGGAAATAGTGTAATAAAATGTGTTATATTTGGAATTATTGATTACGAACATCAATTGAGTTCTATTAATCGGCCGTTGCGACGGCAGAGGAAATGGTTTTCAGAGTTTCCTCGTTTGTACGCTAGAACCTAAAATATACCGCGTGGGTTGTGTCGTAGAGGCACTGTCATTGTCGCCGGTGCCGACAGACACCAACGCCAACTGTCGTATTGTTGGTTAACGGAGACAATGCCCAGGACGAAGTACAATGTGCAGCAACGATATAACAACTCGTAAAGTACAAAAGCAGCGAATGCGAACCTACTCGTTTAAAACGCTTATGTCGATCCCCCGGCTCTCTACTTTGCTCGTTCTCCTTTCGTTTCCTTTTGGAGTGCAACTGATATATGCATCCATATGTACGTCTTGATATGCAAAATATTTTCTTTGCTATAGTCACAGAGCGAGCAAAAAAGTTTGTAAAGCCGTAACATTCTATTACAGTATCTACGATGCTTGTTTACGAAAGTAAAGCTACAATTATTTGATTGAGTTATCTACTATGACTAATTATGCTGTGAACAGCGACTAATATATTTTCTTTAATTAAAATATTTACATTGCAGTCGACAGTTTGACTCTGTGTGTTAAAATGCAATTTTTCAGTTTTTCTTTGATAAACAATGAATTAAATGGAATGAAGAAAAAACTTTGACTTTTTTTATTATTTTATGTCGCGCAGTATTATGCAACGTCTTAACTAGGAAGTTAACAGTTTTTTGACGATTATACGATTTCGATTTATACTGAGAACGTTCAGTGTTTGTGACGCTCACTCGAGCTGATCTTAGAAAGACCGTAATTTTGATGAAGGTAGACGTAGACACGCGGGTCGCGATGGAACGTAAGAGCTGCAAGAGAAGTAAAAATTTGATGAAGGCCCTAGAGGATTTCGTTAACCTTTGAATGTCCTCGACTTAAAAAGATAGCATATTGCCTTCTTCTTTTAGAAAGACGAGTGTCTGTCTCATCTTTTTAGGACAAACTTTGAAAATTTTCTTTTTCACGTCCTTGCAAAGAGATATATTAAAGAGTTTATAGAATATTAATATATGTACGTTTTTAAGGCTTTCACTGGTATTATCTTCAAAGATACCAGAAGGTTTGCGGCTTATCGCCGTGTTTTTATCCGTTGCTAATTAATACATGTATGCCATTCAAAGTTAATAGTTTTTTAGTATATGCAAAAAAATATACTTGTATTATTTTACTGCATTACGAGTGAGTCGAACAATTATGCCTCAGCGAGATTTCTCTTCTCCTTTTCTCTCTTTCTTCTAGCTAAATATTTTAGTATTAATTAACAAAATTTTTTTAGAATATGCAGACACTCGACAAAATATTTCAACAACCATGTATACATTCGCGGATCTGCAAATAAGCAGGGATGCACGAATATGTCATTTTTCATTTTTTATCATATTTCTTTGCACGAACGCAGAAATTTGACACGTACGGCGCGATCTCGTTATAGATGCCACGATCTATCATAAATATAAATGAGCTTTTGTCTGATTGGTCTATATTTTTTATAACGGAATATGCCAATCAGCTGGAAGAACTCACTGAACGTTCAATGAGCGTTTGTTGTTCTGAATGCACATAGTTGATCCGTCCGTCTACAAGATTTGCTAAAAACGGCTTAACACTTTTTCAAAATTTAATTTTAGCAATAGTTTCCACCTTAGTTCCACTGAAACAAAATATGAATCAAATCAATGGACCATAAAAGGATCGATTAAGTTGACTCATATTTAACGTAAAAACGTCAAAGAGCATCAAGGTCAATTTGACGAAGTTTTTCTATTATTGGGGCAGTCAAATGAAATGTAGCAAATGAAATATTCAGACGTTGAAATTGACTAACTGTTAATAATTACTATGGTTAGCATAACAATTGTTCTATAATGAAACCAGAAGTCTGTTTTTTTTATTGCTGCACTCTCCAAACGGGTGCATACGGTGCAATAAATTGAAGTGAAACAAATATACGTTTGTTTCACTTCAACTTATCGCACCATGTGCACCAGTTCAGAAAGTGTAGCAATAAAAAACAGACCTCAGATGACGGACGTCTTATTAATAAAATTTTTGGGCTGATAAATTGGAAGATAAATTGTTCCAGTGGTCGGACACCGGTGTCCGGACGTTTACACAAAATTGTATTTGTTTATATTATTATTAATCTCAAATGCTTTTATAAATAATTTTTAAATACTATATATAATTAAAACATTATTGGTTGCAATTTCTTCGAAACAAATTTAATTTTATGAGACAATCGTATATTGCAATACAAAGTATTCAATAAATTGCCGATATGATGGGTAAATAAATTTCTTGTAAAACAAATCATACGAAATATAAAATAGATTTTTTGATTAGTTGAATAATTTAGAGAAATACAACATTCTTGGAAAGTAATGTTTTACTATTTTAATATAGATAAGTTTTCCTCACTATATTTAATTAGTTTGGGCTTATTTGTAATAGTACATAGCTTAGATCAAGAGACGCGGTAGTATCTTGTGCCAATTGAATGCGAAGCCCGAGACCACACCGTATCTTTACGCGAGTTGATAAATTGCGAGCACCTGAGATTATTAGATCTCTCAATAAACGCCTGAGTTATATCAATTTTTAAGTAATCTCAATTTACTATTTGGGTTAAATTATATTATAAATGTGTTTTTATTTTCTACGTATCTAACGAAGAAAGATATCGCGATCAGAATTCCAAATGTCAAATTTTGACATATAGATCATCATCATCGCCCTCGGAAATGTTATCAATTTCACGTTTTTCAAAAGAATATAATGAGAAAAGAATAAAGTGTTCGTCTCACAAAAAACCATTACATATATTATTACAGTATTAAAAAAATGAAATGAAATCTTTAAATTACGCCAATTATGAAAGGAATATATTTTCTTGTCACATACAATATATACTTTATTTATTTTTATTTAACCATCTTATTGTATATTTTGAGGTCTAGCAACGTCAAGTTTTTTTACTTTTTGAGATAAAGTATATGTTATATATGTAGCAAGAAAATATATTTCTTTCATAATTGGTGCAATTTAAAGATTTCGTTTCATTTCTTGTATACTGTAATAATATATGTAATGGCTTTTTGTGAGACGAACACTTGGCATCTTTTTTCCTTTTTTCAAAAACGTAATTTTGTTGAGAACATATTGACGGTAATATTACGCATACATTGAGGTCTCACACACACATTAAAATAAAGTATAAATTTTGAATCCTAAAATATTTTCCGCTATAATTTGAATTATACAAGAAAATATATTTATTAATAAATTATATTTACCTCAACTTTTTTACAACTTTTAATCATGTTTTACATCTTTGTACTTTATGAATAATGTACATTAGATGTTGGAAAACGGTAAAATAATTTATCTGAACTATCTCTGGAATTATTATTACACAACAGTATAATTTTGCTTTTCTTTTCAATTTTTTATTTTCAATTTTCCCAATTCATTGAAAGATTGCGACTATTGCGAGTATTTTCACTGTTTCAGTTCAACTTCGCAAACTGACCTTAAGCTATGAGCGCCTAAATCGCTCATACGAACGCGAATCCCCTCTACGTTCATGCACAAAGCGATGCGTTTACTCGGTGTTTATAATTTTCCTCACTCGTCCATGTCATGTTTTATTAACATATTTGTAAATGGCTTATTCTCATCTGTGTTTAATATATTTGTATTTTTTTTTCTGTTTCAGGTAAGTAAATGTAAAAAAATGTATCTTCTCTGTTTATTTCTTCAATGGAAAAACCCGAAATTTGTAAACTTCTCATGCGATGAAAATGTAAGTAATTACATTACCTACTGCACTTATATCTTCAATATAACATTGTATTTACGTATATTGAAATTAACAAAATCTTGCTGGACGTTTTAAGGAAATTAAAAGAATTAACTTTTTTACTTTCTATTAAAATACTTTATGGTCTGTTTTATTGATACTTTATACTTTGTTTATTAGTAATTAATTTCGTCACAAAATAATGAAAAATTTTTTAATGGAATAATTCTGATAAAATTACATCGTACCGGAACTACGTTCGTTTCTAAGTTCGAAGTCCATCGCTCGCTGTTTTAAATACTAGCGCGGTGATTGCACACGTAGCAGAATCAGTCTAGCATTACGAACTTACGGAGGTAATCGTTGAAGCTTTATTGATAAATGTCATAAATTTAAACAAACTAAATTATTAAGTTAAATAACAGATATTGATATATACCATTGTTATACTGATTTCTTTCATAATGGGTTTAGGAGAAATATATCATTATTTGTTCGTAGAACTATCGGGTGAGTAATACTCTATTTTTTTAAGTTCATGTTAACTTCTAGTATACAGTAGAGAAATGTAACATGAACTCTTGAAGATTTTTATATTATTCTAAATTAGTAGTAATTTTATATTAATAGAAATTTAGTATCATTATAAAACTTTCAAATAAAAATTAAATGTCTTGTATTTGTGATATCTTATAAATGTGTACGTGTGCATGCGTGCGTATTTTAAAGTATAAATTAACTTTAAAAATGCCAAAAATATATTCTTTCAAAATGAATCAGTAACTTGCTATATTTATAAAGTTATAACTGATGTAATCATCAACGAATATTTAGTCTTTTAATAATAATGATTTTTTTACTTATGATTTCTGCAGATTGAATTAGTTATAAATGTAGTACTGAAGTGTAATAATACACTTTTAGAGAGTAGAAAGAAAATCTTCGGAAAAAATTTCAAAAGTTTTTGCTGTAACATTTTGTTTCTATCGAAATAAAACATAATATATATTCTGTAAAAATACTTGTAAAATATAAAATTTAAACATGATATTTTTTGCTTTTGAAATCGTTTTGAAAAGAATTGTTTGTTCATGGGAAATTGTTGTTTGCATACAATACAACTTCTGCTACAATAACTATTATATAACATCGTATACTTGAAAATATTAATACACTAAAGTTTTATTGAAGAAAGATTATTCAGAATTTAGAAAATAGTTACATTATTTCAAAAATTATATTTTGCAGTTCCACGAACTCGCGAATGGCTATTTATATCTTCGCCATATCCATTGATGCTAATTACTTTAGGATATGTGTATTTTGTTCTTTATGCTGGACCACGATTCATGAAAAACCGACCGCCATATGAGTTGAAAAATTTTATATTAATTTATGATGCGATTCAAATTCTGGCGAACTTATGGTTTGTCCAAAAGCATGTATCTTATGGCTGGTTTTCAGAATTCTCTATATTATGTTCGCCGCCTAATTCAGATTCTATTAATGCAATTAAAGTACGTTTTTACAATATATTAAATATAAAGGTTGTGTATATAAGTTCATATAAAAAATAATTATAAGTGTATAAATATTTGATTTCTGTTTTGTAATGGTTACATAATGGTTTCAGATGTTTAATTTGATATGGATGCTGATTTTCGTGAAACTTTTTGATTACGTCGAAACCGTCGTATTTGTATTAAGAAAGAAACAAAATCAAGTATCTGGTTTACATGTGTATCATCATATATCTAATGTGATATTTATTTGGTATTATTTGACGTACATTTTGGATGAAAGGGCAACATTTATTTCATTGTTGAATTGTTTCGTGCATGTAATCATGTACATATACTATTTCATCGCTGCATGGAGTCCGAAACTCCAACAGATGATATCTCCCATTAAACCATTTATAACTAAACTGCAAATGGTAGGTACAAATATAATAGTTTATAATTTAATCGTGTATATATAATACTATTATATTTATACTCTATATTTTATTTTAATTACTTCATTATATATTTCTATTTAAATAATATATTATTTGTATTCCGTTTTTTAAAATATTTTTTATTATTAGGTTCAATTTATCGTGATGATAATTGTTTTGCTGCAATTTTTAAGTCCTAATTGCGTGGTGCCACGAGGATCAGTACCTATTTTTATTGGAAATTTATTTCTATTTCTGTACTTATTTTATAATTTTCATAAGGAAAACTACACTAAGTCACCTAAACAGAAGAATAATTAAAATAGGTGGTATCATATTATTTAAATTAAACAAATACTACTAATTATACATAGTATTTATTCCATTACTTAAAACCGAAAATTACTTAGAACATTAAAAATTACCTAAAACAATGCCACAGCAGTCTAAGCTAGATCACAGGTGCTTTTAAATAATTGCATGTGAATTTATATACTACGTATGTAATTTTTCGATTGCGCGCCGAAGTTTTTTCAGACTTGAATGTCTGTGACATTGTCTCATTCGGTTTGAAATTTAACGGTTCAATGAGAATTGATAATGTCTATTACTTAATATTATTTATTTGGTAATTGCGTTATTTTATCAAATTAATAATTAATTAATGAACTTTATCATTAAACTTGAATTTTACGTTAAATATATAATTATATTAAACTTAATATAATGTTAAATTTTAAAAATATAATACTAAAAATGACTGCTGTACAATAATAATAATAATAATTTGTTAAATATATTTACTATATATAGATACTTTTGCTTTAAATATTGTATTAATATTTGATTTCTTTGTAAATACAGAATAAATAAATGTTATAAAATTTAAATAAAATATAAGATGTTTATAAGCTATGAATGTTTTGTAAATTTGTTATTTACTCAACAATATACATACAATATTATATGTGTATATATTATAATTCTTTATTGTTGCGTTTTACATTAAGCATTTGAAAAAAGTAATAATGTTTTAATCTAACAATAAGATAATATTTTAATTATATTAAGGTTTATGTGTATTTTAATATATGTATATTTAATGTATTTTAACACATGTACTATTGTATGAAATTAATTTTATTTAGATACAAATCACTAATTGTTATTAATTTATTTATATTTAGTAATTTATAATTGTTATTAGTTTATTTATATACATATAATATTTTATGGTTACTCCTTCTGCTGTGATACTTATCACAGCAGATCCAATGAAATATTAAGTTATGTTTAATTATTATTTATACTAAATTCCTGATTTCAGAAAATTACAATACTATTGTAATATTACTTCATATATTAATACTTAATATATTAATAACAAAATTCTTTTTTGTTAAATAATTTGCGTTTCAGTATTTTATGTGTATTGATAATACATACAGATACGCCACCGAATAATTAAATTTTAAATTAATTACTTATGTTTATTTTTAATGATGTACGTTGCACCATCTTTAATAACACAATACTTTTATATGTAAATTTACGATAAGTATAAATATATCTTTCCGGACATATGCATTTTGTTCCTTCTTTCAACACTTCTTCTTCTTCTTCTTCATCTTACGTTATGCTTCTGGCCTGTGTTACTCGTCTCTCATATACTCATGGTGCGTACGTTGGTTATTCAAAAAATTGCCACAAACGTTTTTACCCCGAAAAAATCATCTCTCAATATTTATTAAGATAAAAGAAGATTAAATCAACTAACTTCCAATAAATTGTGCCATTTATGTTTATTTATAGCATGTTACTTTTATTATTTTGGATATTTAAAAATAAAAAATGTTTTATTATAATATACAACAGTATATATAATACAATATTATAGTATATATTGTGACATGACATCTTTGTCAGTCACTTTTGGCGAATATTTAAAGGGAGATCCTGAATCTTCCTTCTCTTAGGGCGAGCGCATAAGCGAACGTGCAACGCTTATTAATTTTTTTGTATCACTTTCTGTTATAATTTGATTACTTTTCAGTTATTTTTAAGACGTTTCTGATTTTGGATTTTGCCGACGATTAGCGACTGTAGTTGGTAGCTACGCTATATTTGTATATTTTTGCCACCTCATCTACCAACAGAAGAGAGAAGATTTCGTAAGACGAGGATAACGATTTGTGGAGGTCTTGGTTGTGGTCAACAGGAAGCGCGATACTCGCAGGTCGTATTATTCCGTATCTGTTATTAATGTTGCTGTCATTTGGTGATTATCGCACCTTCATTGCAAACGCCTCGGAGAGAGACGTTGGAATGGATTTGCCCTGGCCGGACATCAGCCGAAGCCCCGACCTTCGTGGAGATCACGGAGAGGTCACCGGCCACTAGGGAAGCATTTTCCATTCATTTGAAAATACGCACCACATAGCACAAGGATACGCGATACACGAGGACCTGCGTGATTTGTCACAAGTCAATTGGAGCCGGAAGCGGCCCCAATAAAAGAGGGACCTAACGGCCAGCGTGGATCCGCGGAAGCTTCCGATCGACACTTGTGTGGTGACCAAGCCTATTGTCGGAGGGACGTAAGATCTTCCAACTGTGATCGAGAGAAACTGTATGGGCTACTGAAGCTATTATGTTACTGAGGACGTACGCAGGAGAGGTTACCGTGGTGAGCGTCATCATAGGATTAGAGTTGTAAAGCCACCGATCGCGATATTTTGTGTCTCGAGCGGATTGTGCGTTAAGATTAATTATGCGAATTGTGAGCGGCCGACGTCGTACCGGCCAACTATAGCTCTTAGAGTATTTTACTAGCGTGCACGTGCCATCCACTCAGACACGAATATTTGTGAATTTAGAATTGTCGTTGCTACTCGCCCTGTCAAGCCATTAGTTTTTGTATGTCGAGAATCCATTACGTTTGAGACTAAAGTTAGTTTGTGTGACCGAGCTACCATTGCCGGCTATCGAGTCATATTATTTTCTATCATATTAAAGTCGACGAGTTATTCAAAGAGCTGTTAAATACATGACCGATCCGAATTATCTCTGCCGACGGTCACGTGTATTATTTTCTATTGTATTAAGATCAACGAAGAGCTGTCGTAAAGCTCCGTAATTTCCTTTGTCATTCTCCGTGTACTCGACTAATTTGCAAAATATACTAGAAACTCATTATTATTGTTATTGTTAATTTACATAATTATTTTAGTCTCTCTCTATCTCGTTCTCCGATATCCTTCCCGCGCACCGCGAACCACTTCTCTGCCAATTTCATGGCTGAGCTATCCATTATTATCCGTCGCGAGACTCTGTTTAAGTTACCGATTTCTTTTGTCCGAGCGAATTATTATAGTAATTGTGCGAAGAGTGGCACACTCTCTCGTGCCTGGCGCTCAACTGAAGTAAGAAAACAAGTAAGATTATTGTCGATTAAGTTGCAGAATAACGCAAAATATTTGATTACCTAACAATTTAAAGACAAACCGCACTTCATACTCTTTAAAGTACTTTTTGTCATAATTAAGAGCTATCGCATAATTAGAGTCATAGAGAACGCAACGAAGTTGTGCCATTGCTCGCGAGTACGATCACAATATTTATTATGAATATGACAAATGTAACAATATTTTTGTGAAAAGTGTATATAAATATAAGCGTTTTATCGTAAAAGATAATAGGATTGCCATTATATATACTTAAATAAATTTATTGTTTATATTTTTACAATTATATTAAAGAGATGTTTTTAATTTTAAGTAACGGTCATCACACATGTTTTTAATTTTAAGTAATTTTTGTAATCATTTATATTTTGTTTTAAATTCAGAATTAAATATGTTAACATTTTAATATTATTTTAGATGTAACTTACTTCTGACTCTTACTTCGCCCTTTTAATTTGCGTTTAATATTATTAAAGAGATTCCTCTGAAAGTTGTTTTTATAGGAAGTAACAAACACATACAAATGTTCCTCAACTTCTGGACATCCTTATTCATCAGTGTTATCAATTATTTAGTTTGTTAGCTATTGTTTTTACATTTGTCGAGATAACAGCAATTATTAATTATAAGAAAACAAGGAGGAAACTTAAAAAAAATAATTTGCTAAAATCTCAACTGCTATCTTAGAAACTACAATTGTATGTAATAAAATATTTTAATAGAATTTAATAATAAGAATTAAAATTACACTTATATATAGCGCTAATAATAAACATAAATTATAATTATTATGTAGTTTATTATATACATTATATTTTTAATTATATTTATTTTACGTTTAATGATAATTAATGTTAATTTAGATTTTAGTATATTTTTTTCAATATGTGTAATAATTTTTTAACTTTTTAACATTTTTTTGTTTATAATTATTATATAAACTTGATACTTTGATAATTTTGATAATGCTTTCCCTCTAGAATGTTTAATCACTTTAAATATTATAATAAAATTCGAGCTAAAAGAAAATCAAGTAAAAGTAGGTTGAGATTTTTTCGTTATCATTGTTATCAGTATCCATAATACATTGTTAGCGAAGTAATACTGACGAGTACTTCTCATCAACTAAAGATGTCATTCTCTTGATTTACTAAGTTTGACGTTAACTGTCAAGTATATGCAACTGACATACGTCACGTTTGCTGGTCGAGAGTTTACTGATACAGTTTAACTCTAAAACTATCTAACATCATGCATATTATTGATTGCGATCAAACTACTAATACTTGGTTATAAGTAGTAAAAGTAATGTTAGTAGTAGACATTTACATTTTATATTTGTACTACTTGCATACATATAGAACGTAATAGAAGAATAAGAAAGTTTATAATAAGCACCTACATTGTTGTCGTCAATATTGTTGAATACTCTGCTATAGAGAAATGCTCTTGTAATTTATATTTTACAAAATGTTATTTTACAATTTTTACAGATTTTATTATCGTCGGCTCTTTGCTCCTTTTTTATTTATATTGTTTTATTATTGAGTTTTTTTCAGTTTTGTATATGTCTTCTGATAAAAATTATAGAACAAGTAGAAATTTATTATTATATTTCCAAGGTATATAAAAAGAGCAAAATTTTGTTCCACTTTACAACTTAGCATGGTTTGCAACCCATACAAGAACAGGATGACGAATTGTACCTACAAATAAGAAGTGGTTTAATTAATTTATCATTTAATTTCTTTGATGATATTTGATAGATATTTACATTACAAGATTTATATAACACATTTTTAAATTTGTTAACAGTATTTATGGTAAAATAGATTAATCATATAATTAACCTTTGTGAATTTAACACCGATTTTTAATAAATTAAATTTTAATTAAAAAAACGTTCATATTTTGTTTGTAAATTTTGTTCGTATTGTAGAGAGAAAGCTATACAGAGTGGCGGTAAAACTAGGGAAAAGGGGAGCCATCCCCGATGACCTTGATCTTGACATATGTTGTCAAGGTCATGACCCTGAGTAACTTCCCGCAAGATTT